TTTAACAGTCCCTGAGTAATCAATACTTGGTTTGACAACACCATCATTCAAAGGCATCGATTCTTCATCTGTCATCTTTATTCATCGTCCACAGGAAGTAACTGAAAAGACCATGGCCTGGGTCAGGCACACCTTAGTTTTTACATTGACATCCTTGCTCTTTATCACTTTGGAGACGTCCTGGACAGCAGATTTGTCCAGGGCAACACATCTTCTGATTTCTTGATTGCTACTACTACCACAGATGCTGATTGTGGATCCAAGTAAAATGAAATGCTTGCAACTTCAATCTTCTCCGTCTGTATTACGTTCCGTGGTGAGGATTTCTGTTTGCTTGATGCTGAGATGCAGTGATACTGAAGGCTGTAGTCTTTGATCTTCTGCAGCAAGTGCGTCAAGTCCTCTTCACTTTCTTTTTTTTAAATTTTTTAAAATTATTTTTGTGTGAGTGTACCGTCAAATCAGATCTGACTGGTACAGGAGGAGATTGTCCCTCCTTCCCCGGCAGAGCATCTGGTGGATTCAAACCGTGTGCCTCTAGGATTGTAGTTGCAGCTCCTTACCACTAGGCCACTAGAGCTCCCCTCTCTTCCCTTTCAATAAGCATGATTGGGTCATCTGCGGAAAGCCTAGATTCTTGAATGATTTGCTCAGCACACAGGTTGTTGTTGTTGTTGTTTGTTGTTGTTGTTGTTAGGTGCCGTTGAGTCGAGTATGCCTCATAGCGACCCTGTCAACAAAAGATCTGAACCCCATCCTGTCCTGCGCCATCCTCACACTTCCTGACACAGAAGAGCCCATTGCATCAGTCACTGTGTCAATCCACTTGGTTGAGGGTCTTCCTCTCCTTCACTGACCTTCCACCCTTCCCAGCATCATGCCCCTCTCCGAGGAATAGCCCCTTCGAGCAACATGCCAAAGGATGTGGGGCAAAGCACTCCAGATGCACCCTCTCCAAGACATATCCATTTGTTCTCCTGGGCTGTCCAGTGCTCTTCTCCAACACCACAGCTCAAAGGCATCAGTTCTTCTAGTCCCTATTCATTGTTCCGCTCTCAGATGCACAGCTACTGACGGGAGGGACGATGGCCCGAATCAGACACACCTTAACCCTCAAACTGACTTTATTCTTAAACTGACATTACTGAGGAGTAATGATGTCAGCACGCAGTAGGAGTCCACATGTATTGAGCCCTTTGAACGCTGGTGGCACAGTGCACAGGGAGTTGTGCTGCTAACCCAGAGGCTGCCGGTTCAAATCCACCAGCAGCTTCACGGGAGGAAGCTGAGCGACCTCCTCCCTTGTGGTTTACAGCCTCTGAAGGGTCAGCGGCAGGTCCGCTCGGAGTGGACTCTGACCGCACAGCAATGGGTCTGATGTTCTGTTTTGCTCTGTGACCCTGGGTTCTGAGCTTCACCGTTTCACCGAGTCCTTGTCATGACCTTTTGAGGGATCTTGTTCTTACTCGAACCCACACCCACACAACTGGAAAGACACAGACACAGAAAGGTTAGGTCCTTGCCGGAGGACACACAGCAAAGACTGGGACTTCAGCCTCCCCTGCGAGGGACAGCACCGGAGTGAAGGACAGATACAGAGAATGATGCTGTGTCCCCACCTTAACCTCACAGCCTCCAGGGAGTCGCAGCGTCTGTGACACTCTGCCCAGGATGAGAGTCCCCAGGCTCCTGGACCTTTCCTTGAGCCCCCTCGAAGCCCACGTTCAGGGTCAGTACCTACATGTGCTGCTCCTCACAGTGCCCCTGAGATCAGCTGCAGATTCCCAAGTGACCCGAAGCAGCTCTTTGAATGGCCTTGGAGGCCGGAGAACTGGAGAAATGGCTCCTTTGATGCAACCCCCAAACCAATAGAAGTCAGACAGAGAGGAGAAGAGAAATTGGGCAGGGGGTAGGAAAGAGGTCTGACATGGATACTTAACAGAGATATGAGGTAGAGGAGGCCTTGGGAGTGTTGGGGGCACTCTGTCCAGGGGTGCCTTCCAAGCTTGAGAAGATCCATCAAGTGGTGTCCAATCTTGGGAGCAAATTGAAGAGGGTTTGTGAAGATCACTCAATACCCGAAGATTAGTTCCCAGTCTTCCTACATTTGTTGTTGTGTTGTTATGTTTTGTCGAGTCGCCTGAGACTCATAGCAACCCTATGTACAACAGTCCTATATCCTGCTCTACCCTGTGCCAATCTCTCTGTCTCTGACACACCTACCAACCATGACCCCAGTCACAGAGTCAATCCATCTCATTGAGGGTCTTCCTTGTCTCCATACTCTTCTCCAGCACGACAGCTCAAAGGCATCAATTCTCCTTCTGTCATCCCTAGTCATTGTCCGGCTCTCTGACACACAGCAAGTGATTGCAAAGACCATGGCCTATATCAGGCGCATCTTAGTCTCCAGACTGACATTGTTGCTCTTCAGTACTTTAGAGAGGTCTCTAACTTCACACTTTCCCATTGCAATACATCTTTTAATTTCCTGGCTGCTGGTGCCAAGAGTGTTGCTTGTGGAGCCAAGCAAACTAAAGCTGTGAACAATCTCAATCTCTTCGCCATCCATCCTGATGCTACCAATCAGCCCAGTGGTGAGATTCTTTGTTTTCTTGAAATTGAACCTCAATCCGTACTGAAGGCTGCAGTGTCTGACCTTCTGCAGCAAGCTCTTCAGGTCCTTCTCAGTTTCAGCAGGCAGGGTTGTGTCATCCGCATAATGCAGATTGTTGATGAGTTTTCCTCCAATCCTGATGCCACTTTTCTCCTCATAGAGCCCAGCCTCCCGGATAATCTTTTCCCCATAAATATTGAAAAGGTATGGTCATAGGATACATCCCTGGTGTACACCCTTCCCAATTTTGAACCATGCGGTGTTTCCTTGCTCTATTATGATGACTGACTCCTGGTCCAAGTATAGGGATACAATTCTGAACCCTGATGGAGTCATCTCACTGGCCCCAGATCCAGCTCTTGCCTCACAGGATATGGAAGGGGCCGCAGGGCATCCCTGGGGACTGCCTGGAGGAGGTGGGCAGAGCCATTCTTTCATTTTGGAGGGATCCCTCCTTCTCCGTTAGCTACAGCGCGAAATGCTTTCTTCTTTTTTCTCCTCCTCTTCATCACTGTGGAAACAGGAAGGCAGACGGTCAGGCTTCGTTAGGACTCAAGTGGTCCAGGTCACTTCAGTTCTCTGAGTCCTGCACCCTCATTGCTCCCATTTTACAGAAGAGGAAACAGAACCTCAAATGGCTTAAGATTCTCACACCAAATTGACCGGGAAGGAACCAGTGGAACCTACAGTGGAGTTACAAGAGCCAAATTCTTATTTTCAACCTGGATCCCAAAGCAGGGTGGATGCGTGGTCAGTAAGAGAGACGGAAGAATGGAGAGACTGAGCGCTGACTTGGCTGGTGAGAAGCTAGATGGTCTGATGGTGAACAGATCAATGCACAGACAGAAGGTGGAAAAGTGGACGGATGCATGGATTAGTGGGTGGGTGGCCTGGCAAATGGATGAGTGGACTGGTGGTTGTAGAGGGTAGATGGAGAGATGAGTAGGTGAATGGAGGCAGGAGTGAATGGGTAGATGGATGGATGCATGCATGCATGCATGCATGCATACTTGGATTGGTGGTAGACATGTAGATGGATGGGTGGGTAGGTGGGTTGATGGATGGATGGGTGGCTTAATGAGTTGATGGGTAGAGAGGTGGATGGATGGGTGGATGGGTGGATAGATGGGTGGATGGATGGATGGGTGGATGGATGGCTTAGTGGGTAAATGGATGAACAGGTGACCTAGGTGGGTGGGTGGATAGACGGATGGATGTATGGTTGGATGGATGGATGGCTTAATGGGTAAATGGATGAACAGGTGACCTAGGTGGGTGGGTGGATGGATGGATGGATGGCTTAATGGGTAAATGGACGAGTGGTGACAGTACATGTATAGATGGGTGGCTAGGTAGGGTTTTCATGGATAGGTGGATAGATGAATGAGTGATTTAGTAGGTGGATGGGTGGATTAATTGGTAGGTGGGTACACGGATGGATGGCAGGAGCAGATTCATGAATGGATGAATAAATAGGTGGCTCAGTGAGTGGATGGACAGACAGGTGTATGGTTGGATAGATGTATGGATGAATGAGTAATGTAAGTGGATGGATAGGTGGATGGAGAGACCGGTGGCTTTGTGGGTGGATAAATAGATATATAAGATAGGTAGAAGAATCGATGGGTTGGATGAGAGGTTTAGTGGGTAGATGAATACACAGGTGGGTGGGTGGATGGGTAGAGAGGTGGATGAAAGAATGGACATGTGAGTGGATAGCTAGGTGGATGGATAGAAAGGTGATGGATGGATGGATGGATGGATGGATGGATGGATGGA